AATCCACAATAAAAACCTTAAATTAAAAAAAAAAATATATATATATATAATCAAGTGCTAATCTGCTAATGTAGAGACTAACTGTTAAAGAAATTCAGATTTAATGTACTAGGGTTCACCAGAGGGACTTTATGAAAGACACAGGCCTTGAATTTGGTTCTGAAGAAAGGGAAAGCTTTATACTCTGACAATATTGGGATCTAATATTAATATGACAAATGTCAAATGGTTAAAGAATAACCACTTAATATTTGAAATAATTAGTGACCCCTCTAACAAATTAAATACATTGACCTCACTGCATTGACTGTCATGAAAAGATGCTCATGATACATTTAAATGTAAAAGGCAGGTTATAGAACAGCATTGTTTAATATGATTACATTTTAAGGAATAAATATGTGCATAGAAAAAAATCTAGAAGGATATACATTGAAATCTTAATGATAGTTTTCTATATGTGGTAGGATTATGAACAATTAATTATTATTATTATTATTTTTTGCCGATCTCTTTTAGTTTTTCTGAAACAAATGTGGATATTTGCTTAATAATAATTGAAAAAAACAAAACAAAACCAGCAGCTTCAAAAGCCCACTCTAATGAATATGCAGAGAAGTGTCTTGAAGAAGAAACAGGATTGGTTGCATAATGAAAGAGATACATAAAGGATACAAGTGGCCTTCAAAATGTTCGTGGGAAATTCCATTATCTTTTAATTCCATGAACTTTTTGAAGCCACATAGTATATGATGACAGTTTTAAAAGCAGACTATCCTTCAGTTTTGCAGGCTAACATGAGAATATGGTCCAACTCTCTAAAATTATGAAGCTGACTAGAAGAACACAGATTCTTTTCACTACATTCCAGGCAATATAATTGATATAATTCAAGGCTGGACCCTGAAGATTGAGAAGTAAAACTGGGACAAATAAAATACCCACAGAAGGAAAGAGAAAATAAATAAATAAATGGAATTTGTTATCCGTTGTTGATGTTGTTGTTAAGTGCCATTGAGTCGGTGTTCCAACCCACGTTGTTGTTGTTAAGTGCCGTTGAGTCGATTCTGACTCATATAGGGTTTCCAAGGAGCAGTTGGTGAGCAGTTCAAACGACTCTGCAGTCTGACGCATTAGCCCACAGTGCCACACCAGGACTCCATTCTGACCCATAGAGACCCTATATAGAGTTTCCAAGGAGAGGCTAATGAGTTTGAACCACCAACCTTGTGGTTCAAACTGACTTTGCAGTCCAGCACATTAACCCTAAGTGCCACACCAGGACTCCTGTTATTCTATAGGTTGTTGTTGTTGTTGTTAAGTGCCGTTGAATCGGTTCCGACCCATAGCGACCCTGTACAGGGTTTCCGAGGGTGTAAATCCTTACGGGAGTAGAATGCCTCATCTTTCTCCCGCGGAGCGGCTGGTAGTTTCGAACCGCTGACCTTAAGGTTCACAGCCCGATTCATAACCACTACGCTACCAGAGCTCCTTTATTCTATAGATAATATGAATAAAATATTTAAGTAGCTTCAAGAATAATTTAAATGAACTGATGGAAGAAGGATTCATTTAAGGTTGTAAAGCAAAAGCCTAAAAGATATTAGAAATATTTAACAGCAGCAGCAAACGCTTTAACCTATTAGAAATATTTAACAGCAGCAGCAAATGCTTTAACCACTGTATTACCAGGGGTCTGTAGAAGGTGGTTACAGACCTGCTATGAACCAATGCAGGACATAGAGCTAGAGCAGAGTTTGGGATTATGGGGGAGTTGCCAGGAGGGAGTTCCTGGAAAGAGGTGTCAGTGAGGCACTTAGGAGGCTTCAGACAATAGCTAGTTACCAATCAGAAAGAAAACATTTCAATATTTTAATAACAGGTTTGGCTAGACTGTTGCATATTGGCCAAAAAAGAAGTCCAGAGGGCGCTGATCCTTTGAGGGGACCTCAGAGATGTCTGTCAGAGGTAGTAGAACATTGAGATGAAAGCACTACATTATGGCACACACTAAAACCCACTGACGTGGAGTTGATTCTGAGGCATAGCGACACTAAAGGACAAGGTAGGGTTTTTGAGGCTCTAAATCCTGACAGAAGCAGACTGCCTTGGATCTTCCTCCCGTAGAGGGGCTGGTTGCTTAACCCATGGTGATGCCAGTGCTCCTTACAGTCTTAATAGTTTTAAATCAAATGAAATCTTTAGTATGACCTACAACGCATGAATTGGTTAGTTTGGTGTGGTTTTTTGTTTGTTTGTTTGTTTACCTCGAGGACTGTTCAGTGATGCTTCCGATGCTCTCCCGCCATCTCCACAGTGACTCTGGTCAAAGGGAAGGCACTGATCTCCTGTTCCTGCCACCACTTCGAAATTCTTGGACAGATCTTTTGTTTCCACAAGAGATTTCAATTTGTAGACTTTTCGTGTATTGGTGTCTGAGAGATACAGCGATTCAGACATAGGGTCCATAGCCAGATAGTATTTGTGAGCAGGACTTGTGCTAAAAGAGAGAGAAGCAAAGTTATTCAAAGCAATTTGTTCAACATGCACCCTCTGGGGTTTGCCTTTAGTCACAAGTGGAAAACTCTCTCACGAAATGAAAGAATTCACGTATCTTCATTTTCATTTACTGAGGAGCTAGCTAATTCTGCTGCTTGTATTCTGTTTATTAGTAATGGGGATGGATATATATATATATGTAAATCCAGTGTGTACTGCTAACCTGTAATGATGCTGATATTTTCATACCATCCATCTGAGGGTAGAAACTGGAAAGAAAAAAATCCTAGAGATCACTTTTCTCATGCCATTATAGCCAGGTATTCGCTAATCTACTAGATGACTTCCTGGATGTCTCAGTCATGTGAAATCTAGTCAATCTAAACCAGAAGCAATTCTCTTTTCCTGCCGTCTTTATCCCTCATAAACTTACTTCTCTTCCAGAGCTTTTCCTACCTCACTTCGGACGCTATCATTCTCTTAGGCTCCTGTTGCAAATTAAGAGGCAGGTACAAAAGCAGAAAACTGTTGCTCAAGGAGGGCTGTGCTGGAGATAACACTGCCAAATTTTCCTCTCCACATTTTGCTTGTTTAACTGACTGACACATTTCTCTAGCTCGTTCTTTCTTCTTACAGGACATAATAGAAATTATTATCTTGTATTTAATCTATTTTTGATCTAATCGCAATCAGCCATGCTGCCACAGGTTACACTAAAGCTAACTTGATTGGATTTGGGGTATTGCTGTAACTCTTCAATTAGAAATTCATGTGGGATCTTTTGTGTTATTTTCATCTCATAGATGGCTGAGCTCATTCATTAATTTTGATTCTTCCTAATTTTTCTTTCTTTTTTTCAATGGCTGCAATAACTTTGGTTTGGGAATACGTTGCTTGTAGGTTAATATAAAACTGACATCATCCAACCCCCAAATCTGAAAGCTGTCCTTAATATTTCCTTTCCTTTCCACATACAATTGTGTCTACAAACTAGCCTTCAGAGCCATTCTCTCCTTCTATCCCCTTTGTTGTTGCAATTAGTTCAATCCCCATCATCTCTGGACTGAAATATTTCTTATAGCCTGGTTCATAGGAGGTGTCTTCGAAATGTTAAATCCATTTTCCCCCACACTGCCTCCAGTTCTCATCTTTAAAATATTTTTAGTGTTTCTTGGTGTGGTATCTAAGCTTTTCTTCACTCAGTTAAGTCCCACACAATTGTTAAGGCTTTACTTAGGTATTATCACCTAAAGAAAGCCTTCCCTCAACCTCTAGCCTGGGTTATTTGTTCAACATGTATGCCTATCTGTAAGGAGCTTTGGTAGCGTAGTAGTTACAAGTTGTGCTGCTAACTTCAAGGCCAGCAGTTTGAAACTACTAGCCATTCTGTTGGAGAAAGATGAGGCTATCTACTCCTATAAAGATTTATGGCCTTGGAAACCCTATACAGGGTCGTTATGAGTCAGAACTGACGCCACGGCACACTACCACCATGTTTATCTTTAGCTTGGAGATTGCATAGCATAGTAAATTATTTGTTTGTGTGTTTGTATCCCCAGATAAACCTTGAGCTCTTGGAGAGAGTAACCATGTCTTATTTCTTTCTACTCTGCTAGTGCCCAGCAATTTGTCTAGTACCTAGTTATTATTGTTGTTCTTAGGTGCCATCAAATTGGTCCCAACCCATAGTGACCGTGAGGAGCAGATGGTGAGCTTAAACCACTAACCCAGTTCAAACCAACTTTGCAGTCCAGCACATTAGCCCACAGGGTCACACCAGGACTCCAGCACCTAGTAGTCCAAGCCAGAACAAGTAGCCATCATTTACTCTTCCTCCTTTTCATTATTCCCCACATGCAGTAAATCACCATGTTTTATTGATTCTACCTCTGAAATTTAGTGCAATCTGCCCACTTCTCTACATTTCTGCTGTCCTTAGTCTAGGATTCCATCATCTCTCACCTGAACTAGTCACCCCTTCTTTAGTACCATTCTGTATCATGTATTTTTTGTATGTTTGAGTTCATTACAAAGCACCTACTAAGCATGAGGAGCTCTGGTAGTGTAATGGTTGTGAGTCAGGCTGCTAACCTCACTCAAGGTCAGCAGTTCAAAACGACCAGTCGTTCCATGGGAGAAAGATGAGGTTTTCTGTTCCCATAAAGATTTACAGCCGCGGAAACCCCACACAGGGTCACTATTAGTCGGAACTGACTACATGGCACATAACCACCACCAAGTGCATGCAATGTGCTCAGGAACCTACTGGGGTACAAGACACATCCCTATCTTCATGAAATTCACAGTCTAGTGGGAGAGACAGATCAGTAAACAGGCTCTGACTGGTAGTGTCATGATAAGAGAAATATGCTCCTTCTGCTGCTATGTGCCATCAAGTCCATTCTGACTCAATGCCCCTGTATAAAGTTTTGAGGCTGTCTAGGGTTTGGGGGAGCAGAAAGTAGAGTGGCTGGTGGATTTGAACTACTTACCTTGAGGTTAGAAACCCAACTGGTAACCCACTACACTACTGGTGGTTACGTGCCGTGTAGTCGGTTCCAACCCATAGCGACCCTGTACAGGATTTCCGAGGCTATAAATCTTTACGGGAGCAGAAAGCCTCATCTTTCTCCTACGGAACATCTAGTAGTTTCGAACTGCTGGCCTTAAGTTTCGCAGCCCAATTTGTAACCACTACACTACCACAGCTCCTTACTAGGGGAGGAGAAATACAGAGGGTAAGGAAAGAGAAGTGAGTCAAGGTACTCGATCTAGCAGCACCTATCACACTGTATTTATTTTTTTACTTTAATACTTTAGAAGTATTAAAGATCATACTTTTCCAGGTTTCCTGAGTTTTTACCTAATGCCCTTTTTCCATCCTGGATATCACATTACATTTACTGGTCATGTCTCCTTAGATGCCTCTGGGCTGGGACAGTTTCTCAGACTTTCCTTGTTTTTGATGACCTTGACAGTTTTGAGGAGTACTGATCAGATACTGTGTAGGATGCCCCTCTATTGGAATATGTCTGATGTTTTTTCTCATAGTTAGACTAGGATTATGGGCCTTGGGGAGGAAGATCACAGAGGTAAAATGCCATTCTCATCACATCCTATCAAGTGTACATGCAATCAACTTGATTTATAGGCAGTGCATGTAACATTACTCCCCTCTATCACTTTCCATATTGTCCTCACTGGAAGGAAGTAGTTATGCACAGGCAACACTCAAGGATGGAAAGTTATGCTCTACCTCCTTGAGGGTGGATTAGCTACATACTTTATTTGGAATTTTTCTGCATGGAAATTTTGTCTCTTTTCCTCCATCTATTTCTATAGTCAACCAGCTATATATCAGTATGAACTAATGGATATTTGTTTTCTATTTTGAGTTATAATACAAGTCTACTTTATATATTGTGTTTCTTAAATTGTTCAATGTTGATTATAAGGAGTTTTCTCAGGTGATTCCTATGCATCTCTCTCCCCAACTATACTGTTAGCTCTTTGTAAGCAGGGGTATTCATCTCTTAATCTTCAGCATGTTCATTTATCTTTCTATACCCAGTGCCAGCAGTGTGCCGGAACAAAACTGAAGGGTAGGGCATGAAACCAGTTAAGGCATGAAAGGATTCACGCTTTGGCTATTTAACTAAGCAAAATGGAAGAAAGAAGGTCATCAGAGAGTTAAGATACCCCTTATGAACTGGCATGTTCCTCATTGTATTTTTAATTATATTTGCCCAGTAAGCATGTTTATGTATGTTAATTATAGTAAGACTGACAAATACTGATTTGATACTCAGTTGACAGTCTTTCAATGGAAAAAAAATCAGGTCCTATAGGAATATTATTTTTTTCAACTTACCTTCATCAAATAAGAGAAACCGGTAGATTCCAGGGACATCTTCAACCCTGGAACCACCAGGACTAGTGCTGCAAATAAACTGTTAAGGGCCCCAACAGGCTCCAGAACTGATTTGGTAATCATATCAGACAAGGTATCTCTGTAGCAAAGACTGCTTTAATAGGGATTTGAGTAAAAGTTTGTACATATGTAGTTGAATTTTTGCCCTTCAGACTAAAATTTCTCCAGTGCCCTTAGACTTTTCTAGAATAGAGAAGGGTCACAACCCTCTAGTGAAACAATCTTCATTACTCTGGTAATCAGTTTGTGGGAGTTCCAACTGTGGCAGATTAATCATGCTCTGTTTAGGAAGAGTCCATAGGCTATTTTTCCAAGAGAAATGTTATTTGTGCAAAAGCACTTTGGAATGCATTACATTCATTCATTATTGAATATCCCCAAAGTGCCTGTGAGGGAAGTTGGAATTATCTTTCTCCTTAAATCTCAGCTGGGAAAACTCAGGCACATTGAGGGCCTTGCCCAGGGTCACTAACAAGTCTTTCCCTGGACTTAGATTAGATCATATGCAGCTGTGTGTGTAAAATACCATTGGAATATTCTTGTTCTGAAGATGGCCAAAAACAAAGCGTTCCTATCTTCTTCTCATTGAGCAACACACCTTATTTGGCTGTTTTTAATCCTTGTGCACTGGCCTTTAGGAAATGGAACAGCCCAACACACCAGATTCAAATTTGATTAATGTTATTTTCTTGACTGCCAACAGTCAGGAAGGTCCCCTATATCAATATGTAATTTCTTGCCATTTCATGCCATTTCCCAAGTGCACTAAAGCTCTTTTGAGACTGTTTTCTTTCTACCTCCTGAAAACATGCAATACCTGAGAAAGAAAGCCTTGCTGAAAATTCACTGGACTATAGACCAAGTTACTTTAATCCCTTGTTTCTGAATGCATATTGCAATCTAAGAATGGTGAAAATTCTTTTATAACGTCAATATTAGACTTTTTGTCCCCTTCTGGTTAGTTTTACATTCAAACAATGCCCTTCACTTCATGCTAGTTAAAGTCACATAGCTTGTTAAATGGGCAATTAATGCTTATAATTAGTACTATGCAACATTTTACAAGTAAG